TAATATAATATAATATAATATAATCCGCAAAATAATATGTAATACAATAAAATATGTATCATGCCCACAGTAAGGCTTATATGTGCTGTTCAGCAAGGAGACGGGTCGACACGTCGCCGGGTCTGTGTCCACCCCGTTAACTTTGAAGATGGAACAACCCAAGCTTGCGACTGAACCCGATCGTGGGCTTTGCCCACTGCTTGGCTTCGTTTTGTCCCGAAATGGGGGGCATCTTGTCAAGATGTTTGGAAGTGCCTGCTTGGGTGAAGAAGACCCTGCATGAGGCCATAGGAGGCCCTGGCGGTGTGGTTTGGGGGATTGGTGCAAAGGTAAGGCCAGAGCCCCGCGTAGTACCTTGTCCTAAACGGGGGTCGGTCTGCTCGTGCATTACCTTGTGTGCCTGCACAGGATTTGACACATTAGAGATGTACCCGAATACTTTTTGGAAAGGATCTGGGCGGTGCAAGCCACGTGTTTGTGCATCGTTTCTTCTTGCCAGTACTCAAATTATTTGCCCCTGGGCTGTGACCCTATCGCGTGGCGCTCATGTGCATGAAAGGTGTTTCGATGATTACCGAACGTTCGCCTGTTTTGCTTCGAGCCACTACCCGCTGGCACGTAGATAGGCGGTGCGATCAGGAGCCGCGCTCCAGAGGGATGCACCAACCCCACCCCGCAGGAGTGGAGGCATCATAGCATCATTCGGTTCCCGATCCGTTCGTCTAAAACTCAAGTTTTGCCGTGTGGCGTGAGGGGTCCTGTGGCGTAGTGCGGGTGCCGTGTTTGTCCAGCTACGGCCCAGGGTGTCTTTTAAGAACTTCGGATGTAAGACTTAGCTAAAATTCGGCCTGACGTTTGCTTTGGGGCCAGGCGGCGCGCTTAAGGCTTAACTTGGACCTCCGTAGCCACCAGACAGTGCTGTGAAAGAAAGCCGGTGTTCAATGGTGTTCAGAGTGAAGTTCCTGTCATGATGTTGGTAGGTCCTTAGGTGTTGTGATGCTTTGTCGCTTTCCCTTTTTGAAAGACTGCGCGCAGCAATGCGCAGCAGCTAAGGTATGTACTGAAAAAATCGAGAGCTGAGGAAGCAGCAGTGAGCTGCTCCTTCCCTGTCGGGCATCACCTTAGGTTTAGCCAATGCCTCACAAATGGTCCATGGGTTTTCGGCTGACGCAGCAAAAAGATGGTGCTGCTCCGTTTCCGTCGAGAAGTGTCGAAGTGCAATCATGGTGAGATCTGCTCAATGCCGAAACTGGGCTAAGCCTTCTTTCCAGGTGTCCAACATGCCCATGGCCAAGAATGTCACCGGCCCGCATGGCAACTTCCTGAAGACCAACAGGGCCTGGGCCCTAGGGCCACAGCATTTTCCCACATGGGCCCACATATCACTGAGCCTTCCGAGCGCAGGATTATCGCGAGCTGATGCTTCGCAGCGGCACTTTCCCGAAGAGGCGAGGCTTTTGATGTTCTGAGACGGAGGGGACACCCTCCTTGCCCTTGGAGGTGGGAGGACACCTACGATGAGTACGAGAAGAAGGCCGGGAAGCGACGCAGTCCCCCTAAAGAGAGCCCTAGAGAGAAATATAGAATAATATAGAATAATATAAAATAATATAGAATAATATAGAATAATTTTAAATAGCTTTTTTACTAATATATAATAATCTCTAACAATATATAATACTCTATAATAATATATAATAATATATAATAATATATAATAATATATAATAGACTCCCAGGTCGGAGAGTGGTGGACGCAGCCCAAGTGGAAATGCGGCTTCGGCGTCAAGTGAGTTGGGCGCTCCCCGCTCTCCGATTGGCTCCGATCTTTCGCTCATCTGCCAGCTCCTCTTTGTATGTCCACCAAAGAAGAAAGTAGCCACTCATGTGGGGGTGCTGGTGGATGTAGCTGAAGTGACAGGTCCGGCACAACTTGCCTGCGGGCATTTTCCGCTGTCTCACGACGAGATCAGAGCTTTGGATCTCAGGTAGAAATTCTCGCAAAAGGCAAGTGCAGCTGGTCTTGACCAGAGACTGATCCGGGCGGTGCTGCCAAATCATTCAGGGAATCTGCAAGCCTGCATCCGTCAATTGCCTCGATTTTCATCCACCTGGGTGCGTGCAAGCAGTGCTACTGAAGCCAAAGGATTTCGAGCGCTCAAGTCGCCTTGCAGCCAAGTCATCCCGCTTAGTTGAAGAACGGGCTTTATTCTTTGAGAGCCCAGATAGTAGTAGCAATCGAGACGACTCAGAAGCCGAGCATCATCAGTAGCGGCCTGGGTCATGGCGAGTAGGTGACATCCGAAGATGTCCTCCGTAGCTATGGATTGCGAGCTGAGCCATGAAGCGTTTCCCGCAGAGCCCCCAGCTTCGCTGCTCAGGTGGTCGACCACGCTGTATCAGCATTATCAGCGATCAGAATGCTCAACTCTAAAGCAGCTGCTCAGGGAGAAAGCAGCATCTGCCGAGGTCTCGCGCAAGCGACCCGTCTCCGATACCTCGGAGATACAGGCATATGCGGCATGTGAAGTGTCTGAGCACATGCAGTGCAATACTTGACAGCACACAAGCACTCCCTAGTCTGACCAACTGCCATCTGCCGATGCCGACGATCTCAACATAGTGACATCTGAAATCATCATGGGCAGTAGAAGGTGGACTTACAATTCGTGCTACCTGGACATGTAGTGCTCATAAATACTCTTAAACACAACGAAGGCACATCGGACGATGCTTAAAGCCAGTCAGCAGAGATCAGGTGGACCACTTGCTGCCCTTGCCGAGCCTGTCGACTGCCACTGCAGAGGATGTGTACAAGCTGCTCCTGCTTGCAGAGGACTGGGCACACACAGTGCTATCGGCACGATGTGGCACCTGCCGTCAACATTTTGATGCACTCTTAAGTTTTAAGTTTTTATAGTGAGCGGAACAAACTATGAAATTAATGCTTTTCACTTGAATGCTTGAATCATACAGGGTGGATGGATGGATGTAGGAATGAACGAATGCGTGAATTAGTGCATGAATGCATGCATCAATGCATTCGGCTGATTGTGCTGGTGGTGGACATGCTAGCGATGTGGTTGTTGTCCTTGTTGCAAGAGGTAGCGGCAGATGTCATGATGATTTCGATGGTGACCAAGCAGTTATTAGCAGGTCACTAGCATAGCGAGGGCTGCTGGACTTGGTTTGTTTTCCCAAGTATGTAGTTTTAGGCAGATGACATGTTGCATATTCTTCTGGTCCATGAATCTGCTCAACTGGTCTTCTTCGCAAGACACTCGGGCTCAAAATTGGCCCGGTATCCAAGAGGTTCGTTCCGCCACCATGACGGATGATACCCATATGAACCGCGATGATCTCTTCGAAACGGTCAGAGACGGAGATCTTGCGGAGGCCAAAAAAGCTTTAGCAAGTGCAGAAATGTCATGGCGACATTCCGCTCTTGGACAAAATTTTCTCTTCTTTGTCGCGGCGCGACGCCGTCGAGGCTGCGAAGAACTGGCAAAGCAGTGCATAGCCATGGGGATTAATCTGGAAGAGGTTGACCTGAATGGTCAGACGCCTCTCTTTTGGGCTGCGAAGCGGGGCAACATCGTCATGGTCAAATTTCTGCTCAATCTCGGCTTCACGGTTAACTTTCGAGACAAGGCCAGGAAGACGGCGCTCTTCTTCGCCATCGAGAACGGTCACCTGGACGTGGCCGACTACCTCATCGAACGGTCCGCGTCGACACTGGTTCGGGCCAGCACTGGTAAAACTCCCCACGCGATGCTCAAAGAGAAGAATCACAAGGCACCTGCAAGAAAACGAAAATGGGCAGAACCAAGCCCCAGTTTGGTATGTCCTGGCGCAGAAACTCGCAGCCGTTTTGCCCAGTGGGAATGGGCCGGCACCCAGGACGAGTCCGAACCGATGGTGGGTAAAGAAGAGGAGAATGTGCTCGTGGAAGATTCGCGGCATCTCAGAGGAAAAGTTAGTATGGACATTAGATTCGCGAACCCGCAAGAACAAGATCGCAAGAAACATAGAACAACAATAACAATACCACAAGGACATAATTACAACAACAACTTCACCAGCAGCAGCAGCAGCAACAACAACAACAAGCACCACGACAACAGCAACAGTAGTAACACAACCAAGTCATCAACAGCAGTAGCAACAAGAACGACGCCAACACTTACGCCAACACCAAAAACGACAGCGACAACAGCAGCTTCACCAGCAGCAGCGGCAGCAGCAGCAACAACAAGAGCTACATCAACACCAACACCAATGACTACATCAAAAAAGCAGCAACAACAACATCACCAGCATTAACAGCAGCAGAAGGAGCAGTAGCAGAAGCAGAACCACCCCTACCATCACCACCACCACCGCCACCACCGCCGCCGCCACCACCACCACCACCAACAACAACCACAACAACAACAGCAACAACGACAACAAGCGACAAACAACAACATCAACAACAACAACAACAACAACGAGGAACAACAAACAACAACAAATAGCAACAAACAACTACAAACAATTACAAACAACTTTCAAACAACGGCAAACAACAACATACAACAACAAATAACAACAAACAACTGCAAACAACTTTCAATCAACAACAAACAACAACAAATAACAACAAACAGCAATACACACGAACAAACAGCAACAAGCAACCACAACCACAACCGCAACCGCAACCGCAACCAACCGCAACCGCAAACACAACCGCAACCACAACCGCAACCACAACAACAACAACAACCACCACAACAACCGCAACAACCACAACAACAATAACAACAACAACATCAACAACAACAACAACACCAGCAGCAACAATTAATAACAAGACACATAACAACACACATGACAATAAACACATCAACAACAACAACAACAAACAGCAACAAACAACAACAAACAACAACAAACGACAACAAACAAGAACAAACAACAACAAGCAACAACAAACAAGAACAAACAGCAACAGCAACCGCAACAGCAACAGCAACAGCAACAGCACCAGCAGCAGCAGCAGCAGCAGCAGCAGCAGCAGCAACAGCAACAGCAACAGCAAGAAGAACAACAGCAACAACAACCACAACCACAACAGCAACAACCAACAACAACAACAACAAGCAACAACAAGAAACCACAACAAACAACAACAAACAACACCAGACCACAACAAACACATCATCAACAGCAGCAGCAGCAGCAACAACAATAACAACAACAGCAGCAACAACAACAACACCAGCAACAACAACAACAGCAACAACAACAACGCCCACAACCACAACCACAACCACAACCACAACCACAACCACAACAACAACAACAACAACCACAGCCACAACCACAACCAACAACAACAACAACCAACTACAACAATAACAACAACAACAACAAACAGCAAACAAACAACAAACAACAAACAACAAACAGCAAGCAACAAGCAACAAGCAACCAGCAACAAGCAGTACAAACAAACAACAAACAACAGCAGACAACAGACAACAGACAGCAGATAACAGACAACAAGCAACAAACAACAAACAAC